AGGCATCAACCGTTTTCAAAACCAAATCAAAGAAGATCTGCTACAGATAGACAAGGGATAGAATGGAAAACCAATTAATATGGCTGCAAAGAGTGGAGACAGTTTAACTTCCATAGACAAATGTGCATCCAAGCCTGGATGTGGTTCTACCAGCAGGGATTTGATCCCACCAGCTCTTGCTTTGCATGGAATAGTTAATATTCACTAAAGCAAGGTCAGGGACCAGGTGCCTGGTGACTGAGTGGTGAACCCACCAGACTTGGTTCATTCTCACTCTTTTTCTCCCATCCTCCCATGTTTCTGCATGTGTTAGAACAGCTTAATATTTAAGGGGTGAATATATGCTGGGGCGAGTGGTGGCTGTTCCCAAGAGGGGCTAAGGAAACTTCTGGTGCTGCAGATGGGGGTTTTAGTTAAATGAAGCAGTAACTTCATTATCTGTGTTACATCTACTACTTCTAAAGTCAGACTCTATTGTGCTAATCACTGCAGAAATGCATGACAAGGAGCTTACAATACAACCTGTCTGTCCAGCGTCAGGAAAGCACAGGCTTTTAGCATCACCTGGGAAAAAGGCAAAATGATCCTGTGAAGACCTTGCAGATGGACACAGAGGGTCCTTGCCCAGCATCAGCCAACTAAATTATACAACTGCCAGAGTAAAGCAAGCAAAGTGATTCTGTTTTCCCCAAAGCTCTTCTCCTCCTCTAATTACATTTGAAATGTTTTGCACAGTATTGAAAATGTCACTTCCAGCTGCGGACCATCAAAGAGCCTACATGGCACAGCCACGAGTTTTATTAGGGCAGGTTTGCTGCTGGGGATTTCGATGGCAGCAAAACAGGCCTGGAGTGACGTATCTTTTGTTACAAACATTGAACACTTGTTATGGTGATAGGGGATCTTCCACAAAGGCACAGTGGTGGCCAAACCATTTTAAAGACTGAGACCTGCATATTCAAGCAGGAACTGCTCATATATGTACTTTTTCTTCCCTTCTGTCCCAAAGCAGTAACAGAGACAAATGTAGTGGTCCTGGTTTGTACTGGGGTCACTGCAGAAAAGCCCATGATGCCCTCCAAGGCATTTGTGCCCTTGATTTGGGCCTGAGCCCTTGTTCTCCTGGTACTGTTGGTCAAGGTGCCAAAGGGATACAAACAGATCTGCTTTGGCTCTTCTACAAGCCCTGAAAGTCAAGTGATGGAGCAGCTGTGCCTTTCACGGTAGATCAGGATCCACCATCCAACAGCATCCAGGGAAAAGGATGATGAGCCATTGCTGCAGAGATCCTCCGGCATAGTCAGGCTGTGTGAGCACTGGATAGGACCTAGGAAAGTCCTTCCATCCTGCTATGTCCACACTACTACTCTGGTTCCTCTTCCACACTCCTTCGCTGATGCCCACTCCATAAACCAGCTTGTCATTGAGGATTTGATGCCTCTGGGGTTGCGTCCATACGGGATGTAGTTTCCTTTTCTGTTGTTTCTTAGGTGCTGTAATGTCTCTGAGCCCATTGCTCTGCAAAAGCCATACAGGAACAGAAGGTGGAAATGGGATAATATCCTGAAACCAGGATTTCATGACCTGAAAAGGGATTCTGCAAATGCAGTTTCTTCTTTCTCCTTCCACTGATGTGCCCCCTGGCATGCAGAGCCAGCTCAATGGAGGGGAAGTCTCACATTTAGACTCTGTGCATAACGGGACTTGATGTTTTTTTCTAGATCAATGCAAACAGAAATTAAACGTATCTTTTCCCAGTCTGAAACAAGAGAAAACCAATACTTCAGCCCCAAACCAATCCTTCCATTTCCATATCAGCTTTTAAGTAGAGTTTAATGCTGTGGCAGTGAAAGCCTTGATGTGACACCCCTCCTGGCACCGGGGGACATGGGCAGGGCAGGAAGATGTGCTGCTCTGCCCATAACCAGTATAGCATTCGCCTGGGGTGAATCATTTATCTCAAGAAATGAAAAGCAATACAGGATACTTCTACAGCTTCCAGGTCTCCCAGTCCAATTTAAATTGCTAATCATCAGGAAGAAAAACAAGAAAAAGGAAAGACCAATTCTAGTGAGAGGGAAGAGAACTATTTTTTCCTTAAAGCAGGAGGATGCTTTGAGGCAGTAGCCTCCTGTTGAACCCCTGACAGAACCTAAAGCTTGCTCTTTAAATAGCCCAGAGCTGATAAATGCATCTTTTGCAGGGAGCATCAGAAAAAGCTGCAATTTGTGCTTGCTTTGCCCTCAACTCCAACACGTGCTGGAAAGTCAGCTCTGGCCCATCTCTCCCTGTGATAAAAGAGCAGGTTTTTGCAGCAGCTTGCTGGTGAGGCAGCTGCTGGGACCTGGCCAGAGAAGAGGGAGGAGGGTATGTGCATCTCATTCAGTCTCTCCCATCATACCACTGCTTAGCACTGATCCTGTCCCAGTCATGCCGTTCACTGCTGGCAACAGGACGAAGATCAACAATTTATTCTATCCTGATCTCTCTTGCTGGAGAAGGATGGGATGTTTTCTTTCTTTCATCCTGTACTGTTTTAACTAAAGTTTTGATGGAAGCAGAGCAGCCTCCTGAATATGTTGCAGAGACTTTCATTGAACTTAAATGGAAACGAGCCCGCCAAAAAGATTAACGGTTGAAACTGCCAACATGTTTATAATAAATTTCCAAACAGCACCAAAGAGCAAGTTGCTCCAGTTAGAGAGTGGTGGGAGCCCTGGGGAACTTGATAAGATCTGCCCAGGAGGCAGCAAACTGGTGAGGATCTGTGAGGGTATCACATGCCAGCTCACCCCCAAAACCCTTTCATTCCCTTGTTCTGCTACTGGAGCCTGGAGGAGTTCGTGCATGTTTGGGTGGTGCATCCAACCCCCCTGCCTGGGTCCTGCACCCATGGCATTTGCACAGGTCTTGTCATTGGCACATGGCACTGTCCTCCCAGTTTGAGACATGAGTGTACTGGAGAGAGTCCAGTGAAGGGCCACAAAGATGATTAAGGAATTGGAGCATCTGTTGTGTGAGGAGCAGCTGAGAGATCTGGGACTGTTTAACTTGGAGAAGACAAAGCTCAGGGGAATTTTATTGGTGTGTACAAGTATCTGATGGGGGGAGTAAAGAAGATGGAGTCAGACTCTTCTCAGCAGTGCCCAGTGACAGGACAAGAGGCAATGGGCACAAATTTAAATTCAGGAAATTCCATTAAAACATAAGAAAAAAGCTTTTTTCTCTGCACAGATAATCAAACACTGGCACGGGTTGCCCAGAGAGGTTGTGGAGTTTCCATCTTTGGAGATAATCAAAACCTGACTGGACACAGCCCTGAGCAACTTGCTTTAGCTGACCTTGTTCTAAGCAAGGGGTTGGACTAAAGGGTCTCCAGAGGTGTCTTCCAGCCGCAATGATTCTGCAGTTCTGTGCCCCCTAAATTAGAATTTAAGGGGCAAGTGGTGTCTTTGGTTGAGGTCTGTGCTTTGTAGTGGGTGATTTCCTAGATTGAAGAAGGTTCAGGAAGCCAAAGTACAACACAGGGAGGCTGGTAGAGAACTGCCAACACAAATTGTGGAGGGATTGCAGTCCACAGGAGCAGGGTGACTTGTTGACATAACTCAAAAAGGTGCCATCATTTTCTTTTCAGGGCTAAAAAAAGATTAATATTTGCAAACTAAGGAAGTAGGCACATGTCAGTGAGTTCTTGGAAGCGCAAGAGCTGTTTAGCGTCTCTGGGATGTAAATAATAAGTCAGCAGAGATCTCTCATTATGAACATAACCTTTCTTTGTCTTTTAAGTAGAACTGTCAGAACCTTCCATCCACCCAAGTTCAACAAGGGCTTCTTCTATTTCAACAAAGAAATCAAGAAAATGTTCCCAAATGCTCTTTTCTTCATTTTCAAGTTGCTTTTCCACTGGGGAGAGGAAAAAAAAAAAAAAGTAGAAAACTAAAAGGGAGCTATGACTCTTCAGAAGTCCCCAAGGCAAAAGTTAGGTGATTCGGTCATCCCTGCTGGAGCATCCAATCTTAGTCTGTCCTATGTTCATGGCCAGTTACAGCATTAGTGAATTCACTGTGGTTGCTTGGCAAGATCAGGATAGCATGGGTAATTTCCTTGCATGTGCTAGCTGGTAGAGTCAGAGGAACAAGTTGCAATCTACTTTCTGACCCTCAAATCCAAATATGAAAGGTTTGGGGGCCATAGAGAAAGACACTAAACCCTACAACCTGTGGTCAACTAGCACTCCCAAGACATGAAGGGACCCCCACAAACCATGCACACACTGCTGTGTCTTTTATAATAACTACGGACATGTGTGGTGGAGGGATGGGGCTTAGCTGGAATGTGAACTCCTATCTTTTTTTTGGCTTCAAGGCTTCATGTTTCCCTTAAAATGGAAGGAAGAATCAGCAGTGGTTTCTGTGAAAGAAGTTGCTCCATGAAATTTTACACCCAAACCATCTGATTTCCAGGACATTTCATGCTTCTGGCCCTGGCAAAAGAGTTCTGCAGGGCCCTAATTGCTCTGGCGCTTTGTAATGGTTTGTTGTCCCTAAGCCACAGTAGTGCTTCTCCCTGGGATGGTTCCTCTGTTGGTGTGCTGAGAGGAGGCGCTCTGGCCCTGGCTCTCCCTGCTCACTGCTGCTGTTACTGGTATTGCAGAAGCCCCATCTTGTGCAAAGTGCTAGGCAAGGACACGAGATGGCCCCTTGCCCAAAGAGCTTAAAATCTAGCTTATCTGGGACCATGCTCAAACATCCTTATATCTGATCAAAAGCCAGTGAGTCCCTCAAAAGCATGGCCTGACTCTAGAAGGGGGATCAGATTATGGTCTTGAGCAGGGTGTCATTGCTTTTGGTATCAGAACATCATGTTCACTGGTGATGTTATTTGAAGCAAATATAGATCATTTCTAGAACCAGCAGGGTGCTCCTAAGGAGAGATATCTCACCTTCTTACCCAAGTTTTGTGAAAATATAAAAATCTTTTTTATTTTGTTGTTTTACTAGGAATCACACCAAGTTGGCACTCGGAATATATTGACGTTACGGACTCTGCCATGGACAAGACATTTCACTTCCAGTGTGATCGCTGGCTGGCTAAAGGGGAAGACGATGGGCAGCTCATAAGGGAACTGGCTTGTGCCAATAATGACATCCTGGAACTGAAGGAACGGACCAGTAAGTTTAGAGTTGACTTGTGGCATTTGCTGAGGGACCTCAGAGGCCATAGGACCATATCTTCTGCAAACTGCTCCACTGAGGGTTCCCATGCAATAGGTGTTGGTATTTACAGGCTTTAAGGGTTGAATTACTTAAGATACTCTTTAGTTCAAAAGTACAATGCTGTGATAAGAAAGAAACAAATCAGGATTTATGAGGAAGAAAAAGATCTCATTCTGGGTTGAAACTTAAGAGGGGCCCATCTGCAATCGTTCAGTCCAGCAGTAAGCCATGAGGACACATGGTTATGGTCTCATTAGAAATAATGGGCTTGAGTCTTTGAGGTGGAAAATAAGTTTAGTCCTTAAAGCTTTGTAAGTAACATTGCTCCAGATTCCTCCTTAACATGTTCTGGGCTACTAGCTCAAGTATCCCAGCTGAACATGGCGGCTGAGCTTAACACTTCATAGCCCTGGGTCTGCTCTGGGTAATTCCACTGAGTCCAAGGTAATTACATTGGTGTCTAATGCGGTGAGCAAGAGTTATTTAACTGCACTGATGATATGCAAAGTGCATCTCAAGAACTTCTGCACCACAGTGCTCTCCTTCAGATGAGTCCTGGAGGGTCAATAATCACATTACTTCAGTGTGATTTCACCCTGCCCCTGCAAGAAAACAGCCTTGTGGTTGCCATGTTGGGTACTTATGTGCCACCGTAGCATTTGAGCACATCCTGTGGGGTACATGGATACCTTCACTGTCCCTGTTAGGAACAGTGGCAAAAAAACTGTAGGATTTGGGCTGTGTTAAAAAGTGTTTAGCACAGCAGGGAGCTGGACACAGCTTGTTCAAGAGCAGCTCCATCTACTCTTGCTAGCTGATCGAGCAGTACTCATATATTTCATGTACTCTATCCCTGCATGAAATTCAAAGCACATAGAAGTCAAGAGTCCCACAGATTTCAGTGTGGTTCCGTCCTTATTTTGCAAATGCTTTCTTGTGTGCTGTGACAAATATTAGGAAGAAAGTTTTTAAGCAAAGTGACAGCCAAATGAAGAGATCTTTCTGGCCATCTGCTCTTCCTTTTCTGTTTAATGTGTGTGTTAATTATGCTTTAAAGCCTATGAGATTGTCACAGTAACAAGCGACAGAGAGGATGCAGAAACGAAGGAAATCATCTGGATCATCTTAGAAGGAAAGATGGGCCACTCGAAAGAATTTCTTTTGGAAAACTCCAAGAAAAGGAGATTTGAAAAGTAGTGGGACTGGATAGTGGGCTAGAAAAACTCTCCACCAGCTGTGTGTCTTCCACAAATGCCACCTCTTCTTCAGGGTGGTCTACAGGGTTGTGTTTGTGCCATGCTGTTTCTCATGCCCCTTCCAAAAAGCCTAATGGTTTCTCACCTGGAATTTCTGATGGGCAGACACAGAGCAAGTTTTAAAATGATAAGAAAAAGGCATTTGGTAAAAGGAAATGTAGATGATGTGTGTGTGTGTCCGTCCTTTTGTATTAGTACATACAAACAAGCTTCTGGCGAGCCCCCAGGGAGGCTGTGTATTTTTGAGCTGGGAGGAGCAGAAGGAAGCTGGAGGTAGTTTTATTTCCTTTTACAGTATCTCACTGGCAGTGGGAATCAGAGAGGAAGTAAAAATAGTTGGAGGCTAAATGTTGTCAGAGCTGCTCAGATTTGACTTTCCAGACAAATCTAGGGGATAAGGCTGAAAGATCACTGTCGCATGAGGAAAGCCAAATATCAGCCTCATGCACAGACAAGCTGGAGGCACATCATGAGGCAGATTCCTTCTCCCATGCGGGACCAAAGTGCTCTAGATGTGAGATGGGTTTTCTACTTTGTTTAAGGACACAGCACGTCCTTAGGAGATGGGAACCTCTTCAAAGTCATGGACACTGCTGATGTTATGTTGCTTTGCAGGGAGGAAAAGTTTTTCTTGTGGCTCTCTAAAGGAAGGTGAAATGACAGATGATGTGGACTCTAGTATGAATGGATGAGATTTCATGTGAAACATGCAAGATTTGGAGGAGCTTCCTTCTGACCTTCAGCTGATGGTGTCTACAGTGGAGTTAAAGACACCACGCTCCAAAGCATTAGTCATAGTCCATCCTTGGAGGCAGGTTGGAATAAGGATGAGTCTGAGGAGATAAACCTAACAGATACGCAGGGGGCATGACAGGGAGCTAGCCAAGGGTTTGACAGAGACCTATTGTTTCTCTAAACTGTTTCCAAGCTGAGCTTCAGGAAGGGTGGCTGAACTAGCAAATTTAAAACAGCTATGGTGGGTAGATGTGTAACAGATACAGTATCTGTCAAGGATGAATAAGTGCCAGAGGGGAAATCAGGCATTCTTTAGCTTTATCTATAATGAGGCAAATTGATTTTGTATGTGGAACAGCTCAAGTTTATCCTGGAAAGTCCTAGTGGCAACAATTTACAGTGTCACCCTTAATCAGAGAAAAGACTAAATTTAAATATGGAAATTATACTTTGTGTTGAATGATTGTAGGTTAAATCAAATGACTTTCATTTAAGGCTTATCTTCTATCTTTGGTAGCCATGTGCAAATTAATTAATGTCCATATGAGACAAGTCTCTGCCAGCCTTCAAGAAACTAACTGAAACTGCTCCCTGTTTCCTGTAGGGGAGCAACAGACACATTTCAGTTTTCTTCAAAGAATGTTGGTGATATTGCAGCCATCTGTGTTGGTCACTGCCCAAAAGATGGGAAGAAGTCATCTACAAAAGCTGATGTCTTCTGGCATGTCCAAGAGATTATCGTAATGGAGATGGAGCTTTGCAACAAGTAAGTGCCTTCTAATCTGCAAGGGGCCACTCCGGGAGGGCGTGCGGAAGCTGAGCAGCTCTGCATGCATCCTCCTGAAGCATTTCAGACAAGCAATAGCGGAAAGTCTTACCAAATCTTAATCCCTTTCTGAAAGCTAAGGACAAGCTGTTTGGTGCGTTGGGTACAGAACATCCCTGCCTGACTAGCCTGTGCAATTTCTGAGTTGTTAGAAAGAGAATTTGCATGTGCCGATAAGTTTATAAACAAATTGGCTTGGGTGAATCTTGCAACTATGACAAATTAATGTCTCCACTTGTGGAAAATACTTAGACTGACTGAAATTTAAAGTGTTTGTAGGATGCTCTGCACAGACTGGCCTTTAGGTAAGTCTTGTAAAAAGAGCTCCCAGAAAAAAGTTGAGAGTAAAACAAAACCTGAACCTTCGATTCACACCAGTTTGGATAAGAGATCCTTCTGGTATGGTCCAAAAGGCCCACTGGAAAGGTTGCAGTCATGCAGCTCAGTTACTCTGATTTGAATATGACTGAATTCTGCCATGGCCGAAAAATGAACATTTCTGAAGAGCCCTGAGCACGTCAGGTCCTACAGGCTTTGGTCTGAGCCCTGTCTTTAGAAAGGGTGATGTTCACAACTCAGCGAGCAGATAGCACAGGGACTATGCAGGAATCAAAGAAGATCATCCATTGCAGAACAAACTCCTCTTCAGAGAAAATATCTACAATTTAATTGTGGATTTCTTTTCTTCTCTGTGATATTTCCATTGCTGCTAAAGAATTTAACTATATAAAGTTTGTTCCAAATGAGACAATTGTATGTTTAAGAAGAAATCTTTGAAGTGGTTGGTTTTTCTAGAAGCTAAGAGCCTCACCTAGCAAATTAATCAGCCAGCAGAAGAGCCACAATAATATTTGCTGAATGAAAACTCAATTACATACTAAAACATGTTCTTTTCCCCTGGTGGGGAAAAACCTGAAACCCTTAAAGTCCAGCTGTGCAATCAAATCCATGCACTAAACTCATTGGGAGCATGCTGAAACTGCTGAAATAGTATGTTTTGAAGAGGCCAAAGATCTTCTCATAAAGTCCCAGGTTTTTTAAAGCTGGATTAAATTAAAAGAGGGCAGCCAGGAGATACCAGTAAAGCCGGCAGCCTGTTGTTGCACTGAAGCAGGGCTCCAGCTCTGCGGACGCAGGACTTCCCAGTGGTGTTTGCTCTGCAAAGCATCAACTGGAGCAGATTGCATCGTGAGAGCAAGCTCTTGATTCAGGTATTCCCGATCCCAAACATCCAAAAAAACCCACACAGTCAAGCCAAAGACCAAATTAAAAGAGCTATGAGATTGCTGCTGCAATAATTTTCAACTATACTGGGATTTTTGTCTTTTAGTAGATCTTAGTACATGAAAAGGCTGTATTTAGAACCTTTTTCCTGCAAATTCCAGGGCTAGAAAGGTCATATTTTTTCTTCTTGCCCCTCTTGAAGACTGGCATACTCCATTATAACTCCAGACCATGAGATATTATGTAGCCCGGGAAATAAAACTGCAGCATCAGGCAACCACTCTCATGCAGTTTTTCTGTCCCTGAGCCTAAAATTTTGCTCCCACCAGAATTTCTCATTTACAAAGCTTCTTTCCAGAGAAAGGAGTGCTTTACTTTGGCTGCAGAAAAAGTCAACAGTGTTGGAAGTGCTTAAGAAGCACAGTACTGCTGGAAGCACAGTAAACCCTTCCTCCAGGAGTTTATTTTACACACACGCACTGCAATACAGCTACACTCCCTCCAGGAAGACCTGCTGTCATTTGGCAAAGGGGGAGGAGGGGGAAAAACTCATTTGGAAATGATCTGCATCATTGGAAATGAAATACATCATTAAAAGCAGAGTGCTCCAGCCTCTGGACAGCTGCCAGATACACGGTAATTTATGATGTGCTATGTGCTCCCTGCACATCCCCACAGACAGCACTGCCTAGCCAAGGGCTTTCAGCATCTGGTACCTATCAGTTCTGTGCTCGATGCTTTTGTTTTTGCCTGCTAAGGACGGTCTGGGTGATCTAGATGAGGAAAAGAGGGAATTTAAACCTTCTCCTCTCATCTTTCCTATTCCCTTTTTCCTATTTCCTAGCTTAACCATACTATCAGTGAGGATAATCACTGAGCTCCCTTCAAAGGCTGCATGGATGAGACCCTGCTCTCAGACCAGTTAAACTCAGCAGCGCTGGGCTGTGTTAGCTGCAGGGCTGATTGCTCATCCTGCCTCGGTGTGTCTGTTATTCTTTCTAGTGAGAAACTCTAGGGCTAGCACATATATGGAAATGTACTGAAACAGCATTAATATTGGGCAATTTAATATCAATGTCCATAAGATTTAGAATCATAGAATGGTTTAGGTTGGAAGGGACCTTAAAGATCATCTAGTTCCAACCCCCCTGCAATGCGCAGGGACACCTCCCACTAGACCAGGTTGCCCAAGGCCACATCCAGCCTGGTCTTGAACACCTCCAGGGATGGGGCCCAATAAATTGGCCATCCATATCATTAACATGCTGCTAATTTTCCTTCGGCAGATATTATTTCAGGTGCAATGTGAAAATCCCTCTGTGTTACAAGAGAGGAGACTATAAAGTCTTTGAGCGTGCCAAGGTCACCAAGAGCTTTGCCAGCAAAACCCAGAGCTTGGTGCCAGTCAAATACGAGACCATCGTGGTCACAGGCTTTGAAAAGGGCGCAGGGACTGACGCTAATGTGTTCATCACCATCTTCAGGTTGAACGGGGACTTGGGAAGGTGGGTGCTGAAATGGAAGTTCAGGAACCTCTTTGAGCAGGGCAAAATGAACAGGTTTTACCTGGAAATGCTGGACACGGGAGCTAAAAAAAGTCCGTCATGAGCACGACAACAGCAGTCTGGCACCAGGGTGGCTGGTGGAGCGGTTGGAGATCACCAACTCAGCACCTGGCATGACCACCATATTTCCCTGTGGGAAGTGGCTGGATGAAAACTGGTATGATGGGTTAATCTGGAGGGAGCTCTTTCCTAGGAACTGAAGAGGGCAGGACTGCAGGAGGGTTTCAGTCCCTTCTGCATGCGCGTTTTTCTCATTGTACTGGTTTATATTGCATTTTGCTTTTTAAAATGCTACCTTTTATATTGAGAGATTTTTTGTATCAAGATGTGCTTCCTGGGTTAACATTTTGTAAAACTAATATGTCGGGGACTGAGGCAAAAGAAGGGTTAAGTGTGGTAGAACTAATAGGGAGCAATAAGCAGCTGCAGCACTGTTCTGGCAGATGATGAAGCTGTGTGAATCTACTCCCTAGATAAGGAGGCGCTGCTCATAAGGAAGAGAGATTCCCTTCTCGGTGGGAACATGATCTTTTAGAGTACGTGATGGTATAAACAAGTAAAGTAGAAAATTACTGGCCTTGGTAGAAAAGTATATAAAAAACATGCTTGCTTAATAAAGCTGATTTCGATCCTGCATATAGGAGTCCATGCCTTAATCCTCACAAATGTTGCCTGAACAGGGACTTGGAGAAAAACCGTGAAGCGGTACCGGTGAGGAGCCCGGCTGAACCCCAAAAGAGCTGCGCAGCGACAATCAATTACCTGAAAGAAGAGGTAAGCAGCCGGGAACATGGGAAATTCTATATCGCCTGAGCACAAATCTGTGTTCAAGGTGCTCAAAACCTTTTTAGCAAAATGAGATGAAGCTACAAAAGAAGAAAAACTTAAGGAACCTTTGGTATGGGTCTCTGCACATGTCCCTGAAGCCAACTCAAGTAATATCTATAGTAAGAGTACTTGGGACACAATTGGGGTACAGCTCGGGAATGCGGCCACAACGAGTGACGTTGCAGCACCTCTGTTATTATCTACCTGGCGACTGGTGTTTGATGCATTAGATAAAAATACTCAAGATCTAGCCTCGCAACCCTCGGTGCCTGTGCAACCTTCTGCACCTGCTGTGTCAAATT